CACGTGAGTTGAATATGTAAACATGTTTACAGAGCTAGTGAACAGATGGAATAGGGTGTTCAATCAGTACCGCAAATATACGAGTACGTAACAGGAAATAGGAAATGTGAAATGTGACAATGATAACGAACTCTGCGATATATTAATGAATTAATGAAATATATTTTATCATACACCTATAAAAATGAAATAAAATACAAAAGAAAAAAACTTATACAAATTTACAACTAACGGCCTTATCGCTCAGAAGCTATGTCTTTCAAGCAACCATAAAACCGAGGATATAATAACCAGTGAGTGTACGCAAAATATAGAAAAAGATATGATGATATATATATATATATATATATATATATATATATATATATATATATAATATATATACATACAAACAAACAAATAAACAATAAGTAGATTAAAGCAACGTGACGCAAAAGAAAATAGGTAGTAATTTTTAACTAAACTCCTAAAGTTGAAGGAGGAATAAATAGATAATATGTATATTTACGTGCTGCAGCTATATTATGGTTGTAGCACGAATGGGTCGGCTCGACCGGGGTCGCACTCTCTCACAGAATAGCAGTTAATGCTGCTGTATTTCGTATGGTGAGTGTAGAGAACCGCAGACCCTTTTTACTGGAAATGAGGCATTCAATCTCAGTTCCATTGGGTGACAACGCATCTGCATTTAGATACTGAATTGAGAATAAATGTAGAAGTCCATGGGCCACACCTTCCACTTACCATCAGATGGACTGTGTGCCCATTTGTCTTCATTATTCTATAAAAGAAGATATAAAGAAATAATAATTTAAGGAGGAAAGAAGTGCGAAAGAAGTGACATTAATGTAACATACATAAAATAACCTATTAAGTACCTAGAAAGTAGTAAACTTTGTCGATATTTTATTAATCTTGCTTACTATATCCTGTCTATATTCTGGAGCTATTTTCATTGATAATGACAGATGCCTATAAAACTGGTTATTGTTATTACCCTACATTCTTTACGAAAAGAAGAAAAAGTAGATAGGCAGGTGTCCATTTCCTTCTCACACGCAGCTCCGTCCATTATAACCTCTAAAAGCTCACTGTTGAAAATAAGCCTCAAGTACAGATTGCCTCATAGGGGGGATTTTACTGTAGTTGCCACGATTGGCAGGCGGGTCGGCAACCACAGTTTTTTTAATTATTTTGATTTGTAATCAGAAAGATGCCGTTGCCTATTTCCTTTTTTTATATAAGAGGGGGCAAACGAGCATGCGGCTCACCTGATGGTAAGTGACTACCGCCGCCCATGAACAACCGCAACACCAGGGCAATTGCAGATGCGTTGCCGGCCTTTTAAAAAGGAGTAGGCTCTTTTCTTGAAGGTCCCTAAGTCGTAAGAAAGAAAACATCTTCTAAATCGCACAGTGGTGGACCACCAATCATCCAGGTGGTATGGATGGTATCGCAAGTTTTGTCGCGATGTGCGATGGTGAAATTGAGCGGTTGGAATTAGTTCGAACAATTCCTCAGAGCACTCCCCGTGGTAAATGCGATAAAATATATATATAATAAATCTAATTCTGTTGCCTATTTCCCGTTTCAGTCACCTTTTACGAAATCAACGCGACAATTTATGGGGTAGTGGATATTCTTACATCACCGCTAAACACCACCACAAAAAAACATTTTTTTTTAGGTCATCACAGATTTTCTTTAAGTCACTCAATCTGGAAAACATGATAGGCGAAGAATTTAGTTGTCTAATAAAAAATATAAATCATTAAACATGTAATATAGTTTACGAAGTAACTTAACTAAGTATTTTATCATCGTCACAATCAGCCTGCGGCAGTCCACAAATGGGAGTAACCCTATCCAGATCCACTGAGTTCAATTTTTGTACGTTACGCTAAACCGTGTAATGTCGGCGTGAGAGAATATATCATTTAATTCATTTTAATTTACTAGTTGAATATAAAATCATTAATTTTTATATATAATTACAAAAGCATAGTAAAATAGCATCCATAAACCATAAAGGTTTGTAAATAATGCTATCATCTACGATATTTCCATAAGGGTTTGATAAAGAAAAAAAAAACGTAATGTTACATTGTGTTTGCAAATAGTTTTAAAATCGAGGTAACTTTATAATTTTGATAACTTAGGTTTTTAATTACTACATGCTTGGTAAGTTCATTTCTAGGTGTCAAGATTAATGTTAAGTAGGAAGCAAGATTTTAATCTTGTCTTAATATTTTCTCGTGTAATGTTATTACATAAATTAGATTAGATTTCATACCGTGGGTGACGTAAGAAGCGACTAAAGTAAACGCCTGAAAAATCATACGGCTTCTAAAGATGGCGTTATTGTATTAAATACCCACACCTGTCAAAGGTGCGAGATGTATGATGGCACTGCGATTACGGAGATTATTTTGTAGATTCAAGGTGACAAACTACACACAGTCCACTTGAAAGTAAGCTGACGCTGTGGCACATAGGCATCTACATCTATCCTCAATAAAAATCTAAATGCAGATTTATTGTCACCGCTGACGGAGATGGATGCCTCGTTGTCAGTAAAAGGATCTCCGGTTGTTTACACTCATCATGCGAAGTAATGCAACAGTAAGCGGCTATTTCACGCTGGTATTATGTGAGAGCGTGATCCTTTTACGGTCGAGCCGACCCATTCGTGTTACAACTATAATATAGCTGCAGTAAGGTTCTATCACGTATATTATTACCACGTATAAAAGTTTAATATGGGATGTAACAATTCTATCTCCACCAGCACTGATGAAATAATTATTAAAAATTTTAGTGCTCGCTTCTACGTACTCTACTTTGAAGGAAAATATCGTAATAAAATATTTTATAAGTATAATTCTTCACGTCTAAGAAGCCTAGACAATAGTATACTTAGGACTAGAGTGATGGCACTTTTGGTGAGTGCAAATATTCAAGTATAAAGTGCTGAAATCAACTATTCAAAAGTTTATTTTAATGTACAACCATAATAGAGCTGTAGTGTTGCTCTATTACGAATCATAAATGCGGTATAAATCGTATCGTTTCCGTCCGTTACAACACAGTACACCGTTATTTACATCTGTATTGTTACCAACAAATAGTTGGGCCTTAAGTAATATTTTTTTGTCATAAAACTAAGTAGGTCACCCTTAACGTTATAGAAAACTGTCAAGCATTGATGACTAGTATTCAAGCACCGTATTCAAGGAAACGATTGATTGTAGGTCAATTGAGTTATTTAATTGATTGCACACCTACATAAGTACGTTACACAGTTACATAGTTACTTTATAGTACGTTTATACATGGTAGAGCCAAGCGGCTATTTTATGTTTGTAGCACGAATCGAGTAGTCGGCTTGTCTGTGGAAAGACCACGTTCTCACATACCAACTTAAAACGACAGCTTAATGTTGCTGTGTTTTGTATGGTGGGTATAGAGAACCGGGTAACTATTTTATAGAAAACGAGGCTTTGCATCTTAGTCCTCAGGGTTGACATCGCATCTGCATTTTGATTTGGCAGCAACATCCAGTTACTATCAAGTAGACTGTTTGCTCGATTGTCACCCTTATTCTATAAAAATACAATCGCAAATTATTACGGAATTATCTTGCATCAAGATGTATTAGATACAAGTAAATCTTCCTTCTTGCTTATATACTTATATACTCAATATAACCTATGTATTTACGTATCTGCATTTCTCTATTTCAGCTTAAAACCTTAATACTACGTAATTTTTACTTAGTACTTAGTTTTAACAACTTTAATACTATTTATTATATTTACTAAACTAATTTTAGTTAAGTATGGCTACCTCCAAGTAAAAATTATTAATTTTGTTAACTATGACATTGGGACGTCGAACACCTCAGTCCCTCCGTGACCATGGGTGCTGTAAAGTGCTCGAAACGTCAGAAATATAGAATAAGTTAATATACGCGAGAAAATCCGTAAAAACTATTTTTATATAAATGTGTAGTGTTCGCGTAAATATAAGAAATCACTATTTATTGTATGTTGAGACTGTCTTCAGCATCATTTAAAGGATTAAAATAAAAATCTATTCTCATTAAAGTTGAACTGCATAGAGTACTAAATATTCCAATTATGAATTTTATATAGAATATAATGAATAATGTAATACCCTAAAAAAGTCTTTTAATCGTAAGAGACGACAGTGTAATAAATAATCGTATTGCAATAACAACATTTACCTAACAATAAATAGTTTGTCTTTGAGTTAAAATTTCTTGAGGGTTTTGGTGTATTTTGGCGATTTTTGATCAAGTCATAAAAGTTAACAACATACTTCTAAATACCATCTGGATGACGCCGTGGAAAGCCGCTATTATTAAATAAATAAAGAACGATAATGAACCAAGTACAACAATTATATAGTTTGATCGATCATTAAATTATTATTACAAAAGTAATAAATTATATACAATGTTGCGGAAAAAGTATCCTCAGCATAGAATTAAAATAAACAAAATATTTTAGTATCAGAAAGCGCACGTACTAACAATATTCCCTCCATACTAATGAGTTAAAATTTCCCTCTACAAAAAAAAAACGCTTACAAAATTGCTTTGCGAGCGAGTACCACTCGTCTCTCTTAATGAAAATTGAATTAAAATGCTGTTCCAACATCAATATTTCAAAGCATAAACCTTTTATGGAGGGAAATCTTTGACGCCATGACACGTCATATTTTCCCGCGTCAATTTTTAATGGCGGCGACAGGTGTCAGGTTTGTATTACGCTTGGCGTGAAGATTACGGATTACCAGAGATAATTTGTAAAGTTTGATTTATATAAATAGTAAACATTGCTTAGATTTCTCTCCAAAAGAGAATATTTTTGATAATAGATATTAAAAATTTTATAGTATATTTATGATTATTATATTACTCATAAACAATTTACCGCGGATTAAATAAAAATAGGCTGAAATAAAAAATAACTTACCCAAGCGTAGTCATAGTCACGATGGTGTACCAGAAGGCGGCGGGAATGGACGTGAAGTTCGTATCTTGCTCGTTCTTTTCAGCGTAGAACATAACCGTGGCGAATATAATGATCGCCATGGCAAGAGAGAAAACAAGGAAACCAAGTTCGCTAGCGCAGGACTTCAGGGTGTACCCGAGGATTCTCAGTCCCTGTGAGTGCCGCGAAAACTTGAAAATACGGAACACTCTGAACACTCTCAAGGTCACGAACGCGCCAGACACGTCGTCGTTGTCGGTGATCCCTAAGCCGATATAGTACGGAAGGATCGCGACGACGTCAATTATAGACATGACTGATCTCACGAATTTGCACCGATCGGGTGCCGCGAAAAGCCGGAGCAGGTACTCGGCCGTGAATATCATGACACAGGCAGTATCTAAGCAGAAGAAAACTATTTTGTAGCGCTCTCCACAAGGCAGTGTACCAGCACGCCCCGGTCTATGGCCACATGGTACTGTCTCAACAACGTTAGCCATCACAGAAACGGCAATGAAGAAGCCTGTCACGTAGTAGAATACGAGAGCGGCTGTTGACGTGTGAGGGTTTTCAAACGCTCTCCACATTTTCTGTCTCAAATCTGTCAGTTGGGGCAGGCTTTGATCCCCAGCTTCACTCAACTTATCATCCATGAGTCTTTCTGCGTTCTCCCTCTTTCTGTCTCTATAATCTTCATAACAACAATCGCCAATCACATCAGGCAGTATTCCAAAGAAAGCCAGTTCCTCATCATACCCTGTCAGACATTCGTGCTTTGGGTAATGTAATTTTCCAGTTCTGTAATAATTGAGGATGTGTCGAAATATATCTGGATCCCTGTCGAAGAAATATTCTCTGCTATCTTCATCGTAGAAGAACTCGCGTTCGGAGGAACCGAGTAGGGAATCAGGGTATTTTTCCAACGTGTTTCGCCAGGTTTCGAAGCGTCTACCGGATACATTGATGAGGAGTTTCTCATCTTCAGCGCGTCGACGGTCTTTGGGTACAGGCGGAGGCGGGAGCGGATGGGTCGCGATGGGTACCCAGCCGATGGCGGCGGCGCGGGCGAACGGGAGCCAAGCGGCGACCGACGCCATGGCGCTTTGACAGCGGCAGCGTCGCCGCTCTACTGAACGCCCCCCGCGTGCCGCTATTTCGAGCCGCCCGCCCAGATGGGCGCGGTGTTGCCACGTGGCGCGTCTAAACTATTTCCAGAGTAACATATGATTTCAAAATAAACTTTGGTAATACAATGCATTTATTAATAAGTTGCTGTTAAGTACTTTAAAAAGATGCCTTGACGCCGCGGGGGTTATGTAGAAAGAAATAGAAATAGAAAATGTATTTATTTAACCAAAAAACATTACATAATTAAACAATACACTCTTTTCTGCACTAAGCTCTAGGTTTGTATCGCAGGAACCAAGAACATTGACTGACAGCGTTTACACCGATAAATACATAGGACTCCGATTAAATTAAAATAAAGCAAAAAAAAATTTTCTTGTATAAATTACTACTATGTCTAATGTTTATATATTATTTACGGAATAGGAAAAGGGTTAATAAAAATAATCAATTTCTTTTGCTCTTCCTGTTGTGAATGGAAAGAATCGCCAAGAGTTATTTACTGAAGCACTATGTACGTCGGGCATACCCCAGGCAATTGCGTTTTTCGTATTTTATTTATTTGTGATTTATTCTCAATAACATACACTTTATTCATTCTTTAACTAAGCCTATCGAAGTCCACACATGTACTGAATAATTCTCCATAAATTCTTCACTCAGCTGTCAGTCACCGCACAGTCTATATCACCTGAGCCCTGCCTTGCCTTGAGGTGAGTGAAACCGTGTCGTATTTTCGACGGCGGTTTTACTAGTGTAGTAGTGTTAGTAGTGGTGGTGTTGGAGTTAGTGTTGGCGGATATAGTGCACCCAATTGACGGTAGGTACACTTCAAACTAGGAAAGATATTTATTTTACTACGCGAATCTTATCTATTTAATTTTTAACATCTTTAATCCTCATTAATTGCCACTTAAGGGGAATATTTGCCATTGTTGCGATGCTTGGCTGATGGGTTGACAACCGCAGTTTATTTTTATTTTCTAGCTGTTGTTATGAAAGAAGCTACTGCTCCATATACTGGCTTTTTTCCTATTGTCTCCTCTAACGATACCCACGCCATGATGTATGATACTCTTGAATTCTTTACCAGTTTTCTTCCCCGTACGATCTCTTTGTGGAATTGTATACCACCTTTTTCCGGACCTATACGACTTGGAGATGTTCAAAAAAGAGCTCATTCCTTTTTAAAAGTCTGGCTATGCACCTGGAATTTCTCTAGTGTTACAGTTGTTCATGGGCGGCGATAATCACTTACCATGAGGTGAGCCGCATGCTCGTTTACGCCCTTTTATGTAAAAACAAAAACTTGACTATTTTAAGATATATTAAAGGTACATACGTAATAATTGATTTCTATTATGTGATAAAAGTGAAACATCTATTATTTCTATCATATTTTTATATAATATAAATTTCATTAGGACCCCTTTCCTGCCTAGAAGTACATTTGGGTAGCTACCCAGTGCGATTTAAAAGTTTGCGAGAGTAATACCAAAATGAACATGATTCTAATAGTTTAGTTAGTTGAAATAACATCACTTACTCTTTTATTAATAAAACTTTAAGTTAATCTAAATTTACCTTAAAAACGAAATTTCCCACACACTAGCAACCCTAATCTTGGTGCAAACACAAGACGCATGCGCGGGCCGTGACGTCACAGTCTAATAAATTGATTTTCAACTATCTAACTCTCTCTCACATAGAACTTTTACTAATTCACCATCCAACTCGCACACCTTCGCCTCTGCTGACCTTTTGTATTTTTTGCACTGCTCTAAAGACTATAAAGGCTTTTGTCTTGAGGGAGTGAAAAGGCTTGAACGAAGTTTAGGGGCTCGCTTATTTCTAAACGCGCTGATTCCTGGCAAGCCTGTTAACTAAATAGCTTGTTAAGATATAGTAACCAAATTAACGGTACTGATACTTGATTTTAGATTTAGGCTTATCCGAGCGTGCTTAATTATTAACTTTGATCTTATTCAATGTACGTCCAATTTAAAATGTTACTCTATTTTGAGGTCGGACGGTTTTTATTAAACTTAATACGTTGATTTAAATATTAGCTACTTATAGTTAAACGTTAAAGTTACAGCCTATATAGAGGGGGCTTTAGAGCAAGTAAATGACCGCCGCGCTGCCCAAATGCGTGTTGGCAAACTTCACATGTCTGTGAATTTTTTTCTTATTTCTCAGACATTTTCCTCGCAGTGTTTTCCTTCACCGTTGAGCACGTGGTAAATCAGCACTTAAAATTACAGCTAACAATTTCATTGTGCCGGCGAGGATCGAACCCGGGTTGCCCGCGTACTGTAAATTTACAGCGAACGCTAACCATCAGACTACTCGTATTATTTTGTATTTATAATCAATATCGCTTAACATCGTTTCAGACTCGACGCCTAGCATTGTATAAATTTAAATGTAGACAGCTTTCTCTTAGCCAATCAAAACACAGCGCTTTTTTCTAGAATAAGGGTGACAAATGAACACTATATCCACCTGACGGTAAATGAATGCTGTGACCAATAGACATCTATATCTATCCTCGATTGAAAATCAAAATGCAGATGCATTCATGGACTAAAGTATAATGCTTCGTGAAAAAGGTATCTGGGTCGCTGCACTCACCATACGAAATAGGACAGTATTAAGCTGCTACACCACGCAGGTATCCTGTAAATGCATGGGTCCCTTCCCTGTCGAGGTGACCCATTCGTTCTACTAACATAATATAGCTGCAGTATGACTATGATAATATGAAAAAAAGTGCTGAGTTATGAAGTATTAACTTAGTTTTATTGGAGAGCGAAGAAACATAATATGTATATAATTACATAATATAATCAAGGAATACCTCGAAAATTATTGATTTTATTTATAATATATTTTTATACTTCTTAGAGAATGACTGTGTATGTAAGATATTGAATAAAAAATTAATATCACTTACTGGGTTTTTATATGGGACAAACGTTTTTATCGTTTTTTCCATTGTAATATCTTCATCCCTTTTTTGACAGTTATTCGAATAAAAGGATCGGTCAGAATACTCGACAACATCGCCATGACCTAATTTCCACTGAAAATGCGTTACCTCCTCTGAGGAAAAAGATAGAAAGCTTTATAGCACCAGATTTCTATACCCAGTAGACCAGACTGCAACAGTGGATGCACTTTTGAACGGCGGCAGATATAGATTAGGGGCGAAACCAACCCCGATGAACTCCAAATTAAGAGAGATGTTCTACTGCTTCGCCTTAAGATGTCACTTTTTACGAATAGCCGTTATCTATTGAGAATATACTCGCTGACATCACAACAAGCCAAAATAAGCTAATAATTTTAGTTTTTCGACTTCAAAATGCTAGCATTTCCTTCATAAGGCAATGTGTTCGCTTTAACAAAAAAGTCTGAGTAAATATAATATAAGGTCTATGTATGAAAAATAAAATGAAAGTAATGAAACAAAAGCTTTATAAAAAGATACATTGTAATATTTTATTTTATAGAATAAAGGTGACAAACGAACACACAGTCCACCTGATGATATAAGTAGATGCTGTGGCCCATAGACATCTATCCTCAATTAATAATCAAAATGCAGATGCGTCACCCCTGAGAAGTGAGATGGAATGCCTCGTTTCCAGTAAAAAGGGTCTCCGGTTCTCTACACTCACCATACGAAACACAGCAGCGACAGCTGCTATTTTACGCTGGTAATCCGTGAGAGTATGGTCCTTCCCCGATCGAGCCGGCCCATTGGTGCTACAACCCCAATATAGCTGCAGCATGGCTCTACCGCGTAAAATGAATACAAAAGAAGAGAGTGAGACATGATAGGTAATGGGAGGAATAAGATGATCATGATGATGATGAACCCAGGGAATAAGATGATCGCTACCATATAGTTGCCTGTAAATGTAAATGTTTTTATATTTATTTTACAAAATACGTTGTAAGTTATAATTAGAAAATGTCTATATTATATCCGCAATCCGTATTCTAATCCATTCTGTTCAAATGCATTCCATTCAATTAAAATAAATTTTTATTGTGTTCTTATGTATTCTTTGCTTTTCTTTTTTCGAATATTCTCGATTGTATCGAATATCTTTTATCCTCTGTAAGAAATATATCCACACTAGAAAAAATTAACTTGTGTAATGGGATGCAATGACAGCACTATAAAGTACATTCTCTCTCTCATACCCAAAGTTTTACTTTATTTTTATTAATCTTACAGTTATTCAGAAATTCACTACTAAGCATAGGCCACACCCAAGGAATGCCACAACTTTTACTGGATTCAGTTTAATTTAATTACTACGGTCGAAACCGAGTATGTGAGTTTTTACTTTGTTCGAGAACAAACTTGATGCTATAATCAACAATTATCTCAGAGTGAACCTTGACACTGACCTAGTTAATTTACAAAGTAAATAAATATCATTCCAAAATACTTTATCGTAAATAATTCAGAGTTTATAGTACGGTCTATTTCTTGTGCCAAAAATCATGACTCCATAAAAACAACTGATTTCATTAGGCGGCATTTATTTATAGCGATCATAACAAAGTTTTGTATTAAATTCTCAGGCAAAAAAGAAACATAGAGAGAGATTTTCGTTTTTTTTATATAGAATAAGGGTGACAAATGAGCACACAGTCCACCTGATGGTAAGTGGTTGCAGTGGCCCATAGACATCTACATCAATCTTCCTTTGGGAATTAAAATGCAGATGCGTTGTCAGCCGTGAGGACTAAGATAGAATGCCTCTTTTCCAGTAAAATGGGTCTCTTGCTGTGACCCATAGACATCTACATTTATCCTCAATAAAGAATCAAAATGCTGTTGCGTCGTCACACTTGAGGACTGAGATGGAATGCCTATCTTCCAGTAAAATGAGTCACCGGTTCTCTACCTCACCGTACGAAACACAGCAGTGTTAAACTGCCATTTTAC